GGATGGATGGAAGGATGGATGGATGGATGGAAGGATGGATGGATGGAAGGATGGATGGATGGATGGAAGGATGGATGGATGGATGGATGGATGGATGGATGGATGGATGGAAGGATGGATGGATGGATGGTCAAATTGTATGTAAATTATTTATTCTTTTAACAGTTTTTTAAGTTTTCATGCAACTCAGTTTGCTGTGGTGACCCCTGAATAAGGGAGCAGCCAAAAGAAGAAGAAATATATATATATATATTTTTAACAAAGTGCAATTTCCTTCTATCAGTTATTGATTTTTGTTGTTTTTGTAAAACCCTCACTATATTTACAGATTTATGAAGGGTTACTCAAAAGTTTGTGTTAAAATTAAAGTATAAAATATCACCCTGATAATTTGCTGTATCTTATCTGCATTAACTTCTTAAGTCAAAAATCATACAGTTTCCAAATGGCAGCCAGGGCCACAAAAAAAAAAAAATCACTCAAAGGGGCACAAATGGTCCCTGGACCTGACTTTGGACACCCCTGCTTTAGTGTCAACTTGATTCAGACTGGCTGCTAAGTGACCTTGACAAAGTCAAAAATGGCTTTTACTCTATTATTTTAGATACGGAGCTGATATTTGGTGTGGTAGTAGCTGAAGGTTATATCCAACTCACACTACGAATGCACAAAATCTTGCAATGCCACATGAAAGCTGATCTTAGTTTAAAATCTGCCGTAAAAGGCAGCGGGTGATGTGCATTCCTTTAAGGTAACAATGTGAAACTCCAGCTTTGTTCCAAAGAGGAATACTTTTTGTCTCTTTTTGTCTCCCGTAGGTCCAATTGTGCAGAGAACATCCGGAAGCACATTCTCCACACGGGGAAACACGATGGCGTGAAGATGTACAACTGCCCCAAGTGTATTTATGCCACCAATTCTCCCATGGAGTTTCGCAACCACCTGAAGGAGGGCCACCCAGATATCGAGAACCCAGACCTCGCCTACCTGCATGCAGGTAAAGTTTAGCTGTTTCTAGGCTGAGGATTGATTCAGACATTTTGGAAGTTTCAAAGCTCAAATGAAAATATGTGTTTCAGTCCTGCTGTTTTTTTTTTTTTTTTACTTAAAACCTCAAATATCAGATGATTTGTTTCAGCTGCTGACCTACAAACGACAGAGTCAGCTGGGCTCGATAGAAGAACGAAAAGACACAAACACACCGATTTATTTACTTTATTTGTCACTTTTGAACCCTTAAAATGTCTTTACAAACCTCTCAGACTCACTGACCGGCCTATAACCAAGAACTGGATTTGCACAATGTTTTAGTCATATTGTTGAGCTTCTTTGTTGTTTCTGTATTTTCTGACCTGTCTCACCTTATTCCTTCATCTAAGCAGTTTTCTTCAATTGCTAAAATGAGTGCTACAAAAGATATTTCCTTTTCTTTATTAATTATTACTCATAGAAGTAGTACAGATCCTCTGTCTTTCTTTATTTTTGCTTTTAGAAGGTGTTGACCCTTGAAGTCTCTTGTTCAACTCCAGTGCAATGGTCCAGACTATTGAGTGCAGTTTTGTGGTTGGATCAGGTCTTGGTACCCAGTGATGATGAAGGCTATCAGGCCACAAAGAAGCTGTTCTCAAAGATTGCTGGTCTGGTCGTTCGTGCCAGTCGCTCAGGCCACAGAGACGGAGGAAATCTTTTTCTTCGTCTATCGGGTTCCTTTGTGTCCCGGTGTTCATCTTTGTCCTTGAGGACCTCCAAATCCAATCGGTAGAGTGTCTGTCCTTTAGCGGAGCAGTGAGGACAGCTTTATCCTGTTATCCCTCTGACCTTACATAAAGACAGCGGGGCTGGAGGGGAGCTCTGTGGAAAAGAGGCCAGGCGAGGACATCACTGGAGCACGGTTGCTTTCTGGTGATGCCATTGTTGGGGGGGGGGGGGTTTCCACCTGGAACTGAATAAGCAAGGGTTGTGCCCTTGTTCCGACTCTGAAAAGTTTAGTTTTAAATTTGTGAATTCGGCCTTTAGCTGGTGTATTTTACTGTCGTCAGATTTGAGCTTGTTCTTTCGTTTCCCTTTATTTCCACCTCCTAACCTCTCAGCTTGACCTTTTTCCCATCGAGTATTTTTTAAAAACACCTCTCTAAATTTCTCTCACCTTTAACCAAAGCACATTTTTAACTTTATATTTACCTTTTTACCCCCATAATTCCCCTCACCTTTGTTTGTCCTTACTCACGACTGACCTTCAGGAAAGCAGATCTTTTGTGTTTTTGCCCTTCTCCAAGTTTAACTTGTTAAACCGCAGAAAAGAACAGTGGTGCTCAGTAACGTCTGGTTCCCCTCGCTCATTCAGGCTTGTGCCACAGGAGAGAACGTGCCGTCTGAAGGAAGCACTTCCTCCTCTTTCAGTCAAATTAAGTGGCATATTTTCAGGATGTCTAATACGTATTCAGCTCACGCCACACTACAGACAGGAACCAGTGACTGACAGCAAAAGAAATCACCTCAAATGCAGCTGATATTCTTCTTTTTTTGCTTCAAATATTTAAATAAAACTGTATCGTATAGAGGCATCTAAATAAACGTCTCTTAACCTGTCTGAGGTGAGTTGAAAGGAAGTGTAAAACTGCACTTCTGAACAATTCTTCATCTCCCCCTCGAAAAAGGAGGTAAAAAGTGAGGTGGAGGTTGTAGCAGGAAGAGCAGCTCTTCATCTAAGTCGACAGAACGAGACCAAAAGAAGGCGATGGGGGAAAAAGATTAAGCAGGTAGATGTTGAATTAACCTGCTTGTGATTGCTCTCTGTCAGAGTGGCACCGGGGCCATCAGCGAGAGGCAAATCGTCTGTGATGGCCTTTCCCGCTGTTCCTCCTTTAAAAGACACAGATCAAACGCACCCCAGTCGCGGGCCCTCGCAGCTCCTCGCACCCGATTGATTGACACCCGAACGTCTCAGCCGCTGTTCTGTCTTTCCGAATCACTTCTTCCCCTCGTCTCGTCCTCGCTCCCGCGTCCTTTCTTTATTCAGCGTCGCACTTCGAATTAAAGCCCTTCTCAAGGATGAAAGCGGAGGTCCTTTGCAAGCCAAGGAAGAGAGGGAATTAGACCCAGAGAGTGATGGAGGGGAATGATGATTAGGATATGAGGGGCAGAAAGAAGAGAAAAAGAAAGAAGGTTAGATACGTGAGGGGAAAACGTTGCTGACGGGACACGTTCTAATAAAACGGTAATGACAATTGTGATCCATGTGCGATATGCAAGAAGGAGGTGTGATCTCACCATAGATGGAGCAGTGGTGCTACAGGTCCATCGGGGCTTTGTAACATTGGAAAACAACCCCTCAAATAAAACTTTTCTCTAGTACTTGGGGCAGCTGTGGCTGAGTGGTTAGAGTAGTCGTCCTCCATTGAAAGAGTTGGGGGTTTGATTCCACCAGCATTCACATGTTGAAGTGTCCCTTGGCAAGACGCTGAACCCATCGTTGCATCCAATGCGTGTCCCATCGGTGTATGAATGTGGTAAAGCTCTGATTAGTCTTTATAGAGATCTAGTAGAGTGCTGTATGAAGTTAAATGAGGGCACATATTGTGTTGTAAAGTGCTTTGAGTATTTTGATCAGATAGAATGGTGCTATATAAGTACAGTCCATTTACCATTTTAGATGCTGCAGCTCTTTTTCTTCTTGTGGTCGCTCGGCTTCGAAGTCAAATTTGTCTCCAAAACTCTGGAACGTAAACAGGTGAGATGTGGTCTGAGCTTCTTTATGCTTTAATTGTGAAACATTTTTCTAATTTACAAGCGAGGTTATAATTTTACACCTCAAGGGCATTGAGATCACATGCTTTGTAATTAGCTAACAGCTACTTAGAATCTGATTTTTACTACTTAAAAAGGGAAAATGGAAAACTAAACTTCTTCAAGGCATTGTTGCTGCTTTATGCAGATTATATTTTCCATAATAACGTGTGATGGATAGCCAGCGAGGAGGGCCAGGGGTGGCCTGGCTCGTAAGTGATGATCTTAATACTCCAATATAACCACAGGCAAATTCGTTTCTTCGCTTATAGGTTGTTCTTTATTAAACAAATCTGTAAACAAATACGGGTTCTGATGGCTTTTACTTAAGTTATGCATCTCTGTGCCTCCCCGCCCACCCCTCCTCGCCTTCACCTTCTGTTGTCACGTAATGAAACATTGTGAGTTTTACTTGCGGATCAAGTTGCAGCGGCGTGTCGGATCGTGGAGGACAGGTGTGTACGTCATGCAAATGCGTCCTGCTATCCCGAAGCATATGACACCGCGTTGACGTTGTGAAAGAAGCCATAGATACCAGCGATAAAAATCAACATCTGTTTCTAATAACAATGTGTTATATGTGGCACCTATTTATGTGTGTGTGTTGGAGGGACACACAATGCATCACAATTAAAAAACAACAACACTGAGAGGACTTGAAGTCGTCAGCACTCGTGATAAACTTGTGTCCGCGTGTCACCGTCCTTATGTTGCATCTGCATGAAGGATAATGATGAAATACTATAATCTGTTCAGATTTTATGTAAAAATCTAAAGAACAGGGATGGAGAAATGTGCTGATGTTGTCACAGCAGCAGCAACTGTTTTATTTTATCCTACACCTTAGGAGATTAGTTGGAGCAAAAAAAAAAGAACTAAACATTTTTTTATAGGAAAACTGTCAAGCTATGACTATAAAAGTAAAGAATAGTGAGAATTTTGCTTTAAATATTGATTTTTATTGATTTTTAAATATTGATGTCCCCCCGTCGCAGACCAAAGAGGGAACTTGGAAATTCCCTCCGTCCGTCTGTCTTGACTGGATAACTTGAAAAATTAGTATGGTACAGATTTCCATTTTGGTGTAGCTGCATGTAGGTGCAAGAAAGGTCACCATCGAAAATAAGGGTGCTGTGTCAAAATTCAAGATGGCCACCACATAGGTTAGGTTTATTTGTCAAATGCAGAATCAACACGAGGTCAGCAATGCAATGAAATTCTCAGGACCAGAAGAACCATCTTGACTCACCAAACAAACAAGAAGAAGAAATACCAAAGCATGCAACAACAGAAATACAAAAACAACTTGCCAAAAGTGAAATGCATGCAGCACGGTCCTGTTAGCAGAGTGGTTCTGTTGACAGTGCGGTTCTCTTAGCAACATGTTCTCGTGAGCTGCATGGTATTGTTAGCAGTGTGGTTCGGTTAGCGGTTTGATGATAATAACAACTGTGGCAATGACAACGACTGCCCTCCAGAACTGGGTCCGGCAAACACAGAACATCCAAGGTTTCCTTGCGGAACTGAACTGTTCTGTAGAGTTTGGCCCGTGCAGGCAGATGGTGGATCATGGAGACGGTCACCATGACAGACTGATGATGGCATGATGGCAAGGCAGCGACACACAAAACTCCAGAAGTGCGTTGCAGTCATACCCGTAGCGTGGGTGTGCAGTGTTGGCACAAAAAGAGTTAAAACAAAAACAACAGGAACAAAAGAAGAGTGAGTCAAAGCTGAGCTCCCGTCATTGCTACCATACTGCGGCGCTCGTTACGTCAAAGTGTATATATATATCCATCCATTATCTTTACCCGCTTCTTCCATTTTGGGTCATGGGGGTCGCTGGTGCCCATGTCCAGCAATCACTGTGCGAGGGGCGGGGTACACCCTGGACGGGTCGCAAGTCCATCACAGGGCCACACAGAGACAAATGAGACAAACAACCACTCACGCTCTCATTCACACCTAGGGACAATTTAGAGTTACCAATCAGTCTAACATGCATGTTTTTGGACTGTGGGAGGAAACCGGAGTACCCGGAGAAAACCCACGCATGCACAGAGAGAGCATGCAAACTCCACCCAGAAGGCCCCTGGACCGGGGTTTGAACCAAGGACCTGCTCGCTGAGAGGCAGCAGCTCTACCAGTTGCGCCACCGTG